TTTTAGAGGAAAGTTCCTGGCTTTTACTCAAATTCTACCAACTTTTTATCACTTAATAATTAAAATCAAGAGATGGGTTTTCATGAATATATATATCTTTTATTCTTTTGTAAACTTGAGTCATAAGCTAAACAAAAATTAGTAAAAACACTCAAATCAAACAATTCAATGGATCGTGCTAGCATAAATATTAAACAATTTTAATTACGTATTTTCCCAGAATATTCTATTTCTACACTCTTTTCAAGCAAAAGTAAATTAAATTAAAGTTGCTTTCACCATTGACATAGTAAATTCTTTGAGAAGAATGGGTGCTTCTCCTTCATCATCACTTACATCATTAGGCAAAACTTGCAAGGTTAACTTTTTTACGTTGTTTCCACGCTTTTTGGGCGGATGCAATTTCCATGCAAGGAAGCCACATCTAGAATTTATCGTTGGGCTATACAATAATCCTGGAGAGCAGTTTGTTCAAAAATTTAATATATAAATTTGTGGGTGGAAATGGTTTGATTTTTCTAAACATAAGACTTTTTATGTATGCTTGATTTCAAAGTCCAAAGTTACTATTTTACAACACCCAGCAAGGCCTAGTTAGCTCATTGAAATCGTGATCGATCTTTAAAGTCTAGTGATTTCACATCATATATCACCATGACACAAAACAACAATATTGTACTCTCAAGATATATGTATATATGATTTTCACAATTTCCTTGCTTTAAATTGATCATTATTATCATTTATTTCTATTAATTGTCGAATGGGTCCTTTTTATAATGCAATACAGATCATATTCTAGTAATTGTTTCCCCAACAGATTGAACTAATGTTTTGTCTAAGATCGTTAAGATTAGTATCATAACGTATGATAAAATTTCTTATGCATGTTTATTTAATTTAATCAGAAATCATATATGACCAATAATTCACACATTTAATTACAAGACATTTAAGCCATCTGAAAGACTAACATCAAACACACTGTTTGAATTGAATTGAAAACATTGCAACACTAATCTAACAAGTTTTACAGGGAGGAAAAGTACGATTGGACCAAAACCGTTGGCCATGGTTTGTCTCTCGGAGGGTGGTCCAGCAAGCTCAACCCGTGTGCGCCATTGTCAAAAACGACAGGGAAACAAAGGGTCCCCTCCCCGTCAGTTACCCACCTAATTACATATATATGCAGCATCAGTTTAGTTCCACGATGAAACCTAACGCCTTTTCTTTTTATATGTGTCCTTTCGATTAGTCACCAGCATCGGTTAATTGTTGAGTAGTACGAAAGATATATATATATTTAAGGAAATTGGCAGCTAGTTCCTAGCTTTGCTATCAAACAAATTTCAATCAATTATTACAACACCATGCTGTCGGCCACGTAGTAATTTGTAGTTTGTCATACGCCCATGTGACAAAAATCGATTATTGTTATATAGTAGAAACTTGCTCCAAGCTTAATTTCTCAAGTGTATCAATGGACGATCACAGGGAAAGGGCGAGAGATTAATTAAACTGGTTAATAAGGAATCGAGTTGCTTGATTTAGGATTTAAAATGAGATTAAGGATAGCATGAGATCCACATTCAGGATAGTTTAATTGCTTAATTGCAGTACATTAACCACCACATTGAGCAACTAACATATAAACTATTCTGCTCGGCAACTTTGTTAATTGCAATCTAAAATATTGTTCAAACTTCAAACAGGCATGCCTAGAAATAAATAAATTGGCCATCGTTATCCGAAGTGAATGTTAATTCCATCTTTCAAGAACTTCACACAATTTATTAACCAAGTTGACAATTGGGTCTTTTATTCCTTTCTTATAGCCTTATTTTTTTAAACTCATCGATCATCTGATGCTTGGGTCAAAAGTAACTCTCAGATCCTAATATTTTCAGGTAATCATGGATAAAGGAAAACTAGCTAGTCTAACAACTCTAAAAGTACTTTAGTAGAGCTTTTTAGGGTACATGCTCGAGGTTAATTACAAACCATTTATAGGTTTCTACCACTCAAATTTGATATAACATTTTGTGTTTGAATCATGTGTGTTCGTGCTAGTGCATGTGTAGCTCATGAGCAATAAAGAGAGAGAGAGAGAGAGAGAAGACAAGACATGGTTTGAAGGGATAACTTAATAAAAGGGAAGACTAGACAGTTTCTGAACTTCCTCAATCGGCAAAACTAATTGCAACAGTGAACGACTATGTCCTTTGTGTATGCATGTACGAGAAGGTGACCAATTTGGCCTAAGGATAACTTACCTAAAAGGAACGCTTAGACAGCCTTCCTATATATGGATTACTCTTTCAAGTTTATCGAGACAGACTCTAACAACTTATGAAGTTCAGAGATTCAAGTTACTTATGCAAAATTATATATTTATGTAAAGAAGAAGAGCTAAAAATGCAAACTCCCTGGCTCAGGTGTTCAGAGCCAAGTTGACCCTGCAGATGCTCCACTGCACATTATTGAAATCATGACTTACTTATTCATTGAAATATATTATAAGCTTTTCATGAGTTGGAACTCACTTTGTTGTCCTTTGCCCAATGGGCTGCGGCTGAAAGCACCTTTCTTTTCATCTACCCCCCCCCCCAACTTGTCGTAAAGGACAATCCTTAAGTTCATGTATTTTTACATGAATGCATGAATTGCAAACGATATTGACAAAGAAAAAAGGAAGATGGTGACACATGAATCTGTGGTCTTAGACAACAAAGTTATATATGGTCCCGGTCCGTGCTACATGCATGTGTCACGGGTCGAGACTTAAGCTTCGAATTCGCGCGATTTTGAGATCTGAACATTCACCCTTCCGACGTCCCAGATCAACCTAACCGTCACGGTTCACACCTTTGTGAGATATTGTCCGCTTTGTCCCCCTGGCCTCACGGTTTTATCTTACAAAAGACGTCTCACAAGGCGGAAATGGTGTGAACCCTTTTACACCCTAGTGACCTTCCTATTATGTTCGATGTGAGATTCAGGACTCCTCTTAGGTCCGTGACATTCTCCCGCACCCAACCTCGTGACGAGGAACCCTAGTGACCTTCCTATTATGTTCGATGTGAGATTCAAGACTCTCCCTTAGGTCCGTAACATTCTCCCACACCCAACCTCCTGACGTCCTCGTCACGGAGGCTGGCCACCCTGCCTACCTCCCTTGAGGTGCTTGACGTTGATCAAACGGTTTAGGGCTGGCTCTGATATCACTTGTCACGGGTCGAGACTTAAGCTTCGAACTCGCGCGGCTTCGAGACCCGAGCATTCACCCTTTCGGCATCTCAGATCAACCTAATCGCTACGGTTCACATCCTTGTGAGGTATTGTCCGCTTTGGCCCCCTGATCTCACGGTTTTATCCTACAAAAGGCACCTCATAAGTTGGAGATGATATGAACCCTTTTATACCCTAATGACTTTTCTATTATGTTCGATGTGAGATTCAAGACTTCTTCTTAAGTCCGTAACATATGCACAAGCAAATATCAATACATTTTACATAGTGACTAGCGAGATACCCATTGAGATTTCACCCAAAGAAGGGAAAAGATCGTTGAGACAAAAATAATGCAAATATTGTTTAATTTTTAAATGTATGGACAATTGGGTATGGATAAAGTTTATGCATGGGGCTTGCAAAAAAGGAAATTAAGGGATTGATTAGGAGTGGATAAGAATTTTTGTTAGTAAAAAAACTCATCCTTTCGTTCTGGACTATGTACTTTCAAAATGATTGTTTTGGATAACGTTAGAACTTCACTGACAAAAATATCAAGTGGAATTAACAAACTCTGCATCGAACCAGTTATACCTTGTCCACTTGCAACACTTATTTTGAGTAACCTGATGCCTTGTGTGATTAATTATTAAGGCAAGTGTCATTACTATATATATATTGTTTACTTTCAGTGCTGATCATAGCACCAAACAGATGCCAAAAATAACATCAAAGAAAAGATAACCAAATTCTGGTTATGGCTTCCTGGCTTTGACCTGTTTATCTATACAACATATAAATGCACATAATCCAGCAGGAGACATTTGAGTAAACAAACTAAGTCTTGATAATGTCGGTTTGGTGCTTATTTATTTTATTCTGTATCTGTAGCTAATATTTCAAAGAATACTAGAAATCATTCATTAAGATTCTGATCTGTAATCTGAAATAGCACTAGACTCCAGAGCCCTAGGTCAAGGAGTAACATATTTGGTATAGCTACTTATATGTCTTCTATAATCAAGGAGAATATCAAGACTTTAGATCCTTCTCCTCTCTTACAAACTATTCAAAAAGAAAAGCTGTTTTCTTGTGCAAATATCCTCCTTTTGATAACCAGCCCCCCTGTCTAACTTCAAGGCTTGAGCAGCATCTTAAGATTTGGGATATTTAAAGAAAAGCTGTTGCAGAATTCGTAGTATTGCATTTGCATTCAACAAATCCATTTTAACTTTAGACTATAAGAGATTTACATTTAGCAACGAACCAAATTTGTTATATAGTTTTTGGTTTATTCAAGGATCCATATAAGACCAAATTTGTTATACAAATTTTCTCGACAACCATGGAAAGACTAGCATTAGCCATTAGCAATTAACACTGCAACTACTCGACAGTTTAGATGACCACCTCTTAGCCCATTGACAAGCAAACCATTTTTATTTTCTCTCTTGATGGACCCATGCTAAGATTGGATTCCAGGACCCAGTAGCGTGGTCTGTGGGCTCCATGTCAAGCGGATTTGGATTCAGAATGGACTGAGTTTACAAGTGCATGGGCTTAACTATCTGATTTCCAAGATAAGGTTAATACAAATGATGCCAATATCCAATTCATCACCGGCTTTATTCCTCTAAGCCCAATAGCAAATGACATCCAGAGTTGACAGCTATTTATGTGAGATTAAACAAATGCAGGCCCATACATTATACAGTCCTCAAAACCCACCAAGGCACCAACGGCAGTAGCTGTCCTTTTCCCTCCAAAACCTTCTCTGGCTGCTTTAGTCTATTCCTTCTTTCTCCATTCTACGTCAAGTGTAAAACCAAGAAAGTTAAAAACACCCACCAAACTGCACCAAGTGAAGAATCAATCCACTCACTGCCCTTAGAATCCTCCGTCATTCGCCACAGGCATCATCTTGTGCAACAATGCCAAGACCCTTCTCTTTTTTTTCTCGCAAGAAATCCACCACTCTCTCTTTCAAAGACTACCATGAAGAGTGGTTCAACACTCTCAAGAACACCCTCCTCCCTCCACTCCACCAATCCCTCTCTTCTAGCTCACCCACTCTCCTCCCCTTTCATCGTGATCTCCTCCTCCAACACTTCCTCTCCTACTACGACTCCCTCGACCTCGCAGCCTCCAATGATGTTTCTCAAATTCTTTTTCCTTCTTGGCGCAACTCCCTCGAAATCCCTTTCCTTTTTCTTGGTGACCTCCACCCTTATCTTTTCACCAACCTTCTCCGCTCATTCATCGATGCAGCCAACAATGAAGAACATGCGGAAGTTGTTGGTTTCAATGATCCTGCTAAGGGTTCACTTCTTGATAAACCCTGGCAGGTTTTGACTGCTTGGATTAACCCATCCCAGAACTTGATCCTAAGACTTGAGCAGATTGAATGTGGCTTAAGGCTAATGGTTCCTGCACTTGTTTCTAGAATAAAGAAAGTTCAGGAAGCTTTTGTGGGAAGGGTTGCAAAGAAATGGGCCGCCAGTGAGGGAAAGAAAAAGGCCCTGGAAGAGGCAGTAAAGGTAGAAATGGAAGAAATGTTGGGTGTATTTGTGGATGCTAATAGGTTGAGGAGGAGTGTGGTCATCGAGATTGTTAATGCAACCGACGTTTATCAGGGTGCTTTGTTTCTTGAAGGTTTAGCCCAATTTCTTGTTGGGTTTAAAGACCCGGTATTGCTTGGTGAATTAGAACGATGCAAGACACCCATCAGTGGAGGAGTTCACTGGGGATTTTGAGGCACTGCACATATATTTATTGTTGTTTCTTGGTCAACAGTTGTTTGATTTTGTATCTTGTTCCAAGGTCTGGATTCTGGAGTTATGAGTTAATTACCAATTTAGCACCCTCTCCAAGCTTTTTTGGTTCAATTGCTTTGTTAAACTGTTCTACTAAGGTCTAATTTCAATGGATTTCCCTATTTTCTGGCTGTTCAGGATTTCAATTTTCACATAGGTCTAATTCAATTTAGCTACTGGTTGTAAATTTGTAATACTTCTGCAAACGAGACAAAGAGGTTTATATCAGCTTCCATCTAGCAAGTGTTAAATGGAAAACTTTTCTAGTTATAGTTGCTGAATGCTTTGTAGAATCAATCCTGGTAAAGAACAGAAAAAATGTGCATTGGAGGACTCCCGTCTTTGCTCAGCCGTAACATACTTCTGCCCACGTTTGACACAAAGGGGTAAAAGGGATTAGTATTACAGTGCTCATTATGGTGATCCACAGGGCAGAAAAACTAAAAGTTAGAAGGCTTGAGGAAAAATAATAAAATTTTATTTGCAGTGCAACAACCAAAATATAACAGACTTCGAACAAACAAAATGGAGATTGCAAGCGCAAACTGCCATTATCTGCGTGCTTTTGGATCAGGATGTAGGTACTGGAGAGCTGCACTTCATAAGAATTTCTCTTCTTTTCTACACGGTTAATTTCGCTACAGGGCAATTTTTCATCCCCATCTAATAATAGCAGAACCCCAAGTTAAACCTGCACCAAAACCTGCAGTTGCAATTGTATGGCCTGGTTTTACCTTTCCACTTCTAACAGCTTCATCCAATGCCAAAGGAATGGATGCAGCACTAGTATTACCATAATTTGCCAAATTTGATATGACCTTTTCCTGTGGGAATTCTAAACGTGTTGCAACTGCATCAATAATCCTCTGGTTTGCCTGCATTAATCGAATCTCTGTCAGATTTCTTTCCCCTCTTAATCATTAGAAGATATTATGCTGACTTGCTGAGTACTACCCTCAGCCATAAAATATGTGAATTAGTGGCTGCAGTTGGTCACTTCTGATGGCCTGGGCTTTAATCATTACCCTCAGATAAATTAATCAAAACAACACTAATGTTCTATTTTAACCAAATAGCTTTCAACAACTTCCAATGGTTGCTGGTGTATAAGGGCAGCGGCCAGAACCAATTGTACTCTTCCTATTCTCGAGATGTTTCTACCCCAAACCCTAAAGTACCACTAATGACTGGCTAAGTCACTTTCTGTCAAAGGACTTTCTCATAGTTAAAGATATAACATGCCTGAAGTTAGATTTAAAAATGAAAGAAAAATGCATCAGTGACAATAATGTAGAACAACTGTCATTAAGGGAAATCTAAGCACTGATAATCAGGGAGCTCTCCTTGTTAGGCTAGCTCGCCAAGTAAATGGCAGGGCATATTTTGACAAAAGCAAAAGCAACACTATCTCTGTACACTCTAAACCATATACCTGATGAAGCAATAACCAGTCAATGCTGGCGGCAACGAGACCAGCTTTTCCCAAGGCAGACTCAATTGATTGTGGCACACATCGCACAGCAAAGCGAAAAACTTCTTGGCCATTCATCTGTATGCAGGAATAAGAAGATCTTTTTGGAGGGAAATCTAACACTGAACCATTAGAACCCAACAGATCACTGGTTTTATTGTCATTTATGGGGACACCAAGATGTCTGCAACAAGGGAGGCAGCTTAGTCAAATTCCTCAGAGGAAACAATATAGTGTTTACTTACTTCCACAACATGAGAAGCACATACCTTCCACCCTCACCATCACTATGCAAGTCAAAGCTTAATAAACCATCTTCCTCAGCATCGCAGGCCTACAGAATCATTTTTATCACAAATGATATTAAGTTTCATTGCAAAAGAAAAGCAGGTACATGGTAACACTATTATTTCAGAAGAAACCATTAGGCCAGTAATACTTTAGGCACATCAACAGATACAAAAGTTGGTATAACGAATATGATAATGGCACAATTGGCTCTAAAAATATACATATGAAAGTTACAATTAAAAGTATAAAACAAAGTCTTAGATAATTTAATCTCTCAATCACCATATATCCATCCCCCATCAGGGTTACAAGAGTTTGGTTTTTAACAAACCAAATAGAAAGTGAAAGACAATTCTCCACAAATATTTATGATTTCAACCCACTAGTTCTATTTTTAGTCTGCCTGATGATTATAGGAACCTCTATTACATGCAAATTGCTATGAAATCTGGATGCAAGGATCAACCTGTCACTCAGATTCATCTACTCCCAAAATCTTAGGTGAGAAGTGGCCCCCAGAAAATATCTAATTATGTTTGCCTATTTTGTAAATCTAAGATGAGAGCAGCTGAATATAGGTACTTCCAATCCTGTACTTTGTATTGTGCAACAAAGTATTAAAGTAAAATGGAGAACTGTATCTTTTATCAGGATGTCTATTCAAGTCCTCCATCACACAAGCGTACCAAAGAATGTAATATAATGTGCAAGTCAGGCACATGCCACTCCTGTACCGGTATCATGTGTGCAAATGTGTTTGGCAACTCAACAAGGGTATGATGCATGAAGACATCATTCCTTGCAAAGATTGCAGATTACATGCATGATGCAAGCTTCTACAACTTGATATAAGGCAAGATAAGATCTTTTCCTTCATAAACAGTTCTCTATTTACAGCCAATTATTATGACCTCTGGTAGACAGAAACACCACATATGCATGTAAATTGACAAATCAGATTATCCTCTTCATCAAGGAAACTAGAATCTGCAATTGGATGAAATAAGCTGTAATAGCTAATGCATATTCAAGAAATTGTCATTGCATCATCCAAAAATGAGTTAAATTACAAAAAGAAGGTATGATGTATTACCTGAACTAGAACAGCACCAGCAGCATCCCCGAAGAGAATGCATGTACCTCTATCAGTCCAATCAACTAACCGAGAAATACCATCAGCTCCAATCACTAAAACATTATGAAACCCACCTCCTGTAATTCATAAAGGTAAAAGTTTGATTTTATAACAAATGAATTGCCATACTCAAAACCTCCTTGCTATGAAGTAAACAAATTCATTACCCCTAATGTGGCAAGCAGCTGAGACCAAACCAAGCACAAATCCACTACATGCAGCAGTAATATCATAAGCTAAAGGAGTTTTTCTGCAGCCAAGCTCTCTTTGGACCTGACAATTTAAAGAAAGGTTTCCCGAACAATGTACAAATTAATATTCAATAAAACATACACAAATTACTGTTAAAATAAGCACATATGCAGTGTTGAGACCTACATACAAAATTGAAGACTAGTGAAGCTCAAGAAAACCCAACCTCTGCTCAAATTAGACTAAATTTGTTAAGCCAAATAGTTGTCTAACCAAACTCTGTTCTGAAAGTAATTTTTGTATCTATCTGAAGTTTATGCCCAATGACACTTGATAAAATCTACTATAATATCCATGAAATTCAATGTAGTACTAGGGAAAATTTCACTAGAACAAAAGTTACTCTTTCGACCCCGCCTCTTTCACACAAAAGAGAATGCTTAAACCTGGAATCAAGATCTCTGCTCAAGCCCCTATCCTCCAACTACAATTCATGTATGTTACTAAGTTTGTAACCTTCATGTGACTTAAAGCAACAATTATACTTTCCAACAATCTTTGGTTACACTAGTTCCCATGAGATCCCACTATCAAAAATGCAAGGAAACCCCTTATGAAACCCAAACAAGCATGCAAACAAACCAAAAGAACATTTAGTTTTTACAAATATTTAATAGTTTTGAGACAAATAAAGATATACCAATATTGATAAATTTCTAGAATGCAGGGGGAAAAAGCTTGTAAGCACAAACTCAAAGTCTCCTATAATACAAAACATACTATTATTTGTGCTGTTCAAAACAAACAAGCTTTTCAAGATAATCCAGGACATTTCACTTTTAAATTCCCTCTTGATCTGAGTATATTTTGAAGCAGTCTTGTTTAAAATGCACAGAACCATCCAATTCTAGATTTTTAGAAACCTACATGCAGCTCAGGGCATAAATCATGAAAACTGCTATCTTTATCAAAGCCTCCTTATTACATTCTGCAATAAATATCAACCTATCCCCCTATACCTGTGGAGCAGCACCAAAAAGATCTTCTGGAGTAGATGTGCACATCAAGATTAGGTCAAGATCGTTAGGATCAAAATCTGCCATTTCAAGAGCTTTCCTTGCCGCTTGAACCGCTAGGTTTTTTAAACTTTCTTTTCCTGTAAGAGCAATTGTTAATAGGAATCTCCTCCACAGGACCACAGAAATGAGGACGGCAATACATAAAAGAGAAGGGATGTAAGCTTCCATCTTTTGTTAACAAAAAACTACACAAACAGACAAGGTTTTGGTCCACCTATGGCCAAAAAAGCAATTTAGAAATAAGTGATGCAACACTTAACCCAGGCCAAAATTCTGCCATATTATAACACGAAAAGCCTCTATAAACTATTTTTCAACCTCTTAAGAAATAGCAAGAATAAGAGGCTGTACTTAAAACCATTCTAACTCAGCGCAACTGGGGCTCGGACTTTTCAAGACATATACCCTTCCACATGATTTAAGCTAAAGGTTTTAATCACATTAATGAATGTTTGAAACAAGAAGGAAATTCCATCAAAACAGTTGACAAATAGTCTACGCATAGCACTAGTATGCATTAGAGTATGTTCTGACCTGAAATAACCCGTCGATTTCGTATTCCAGTGCGGACAGAGATCCACTGGTCAGAAGTATCAACTATTTTTGCAAGATCATCATTGGAAACTGAAAGAGCTGGCACTGCTGACCCACAGCCAACCAACTTGCAGCCTTTACTGACAAGCCTGTATTTTTTCCAAAGCGTAAATAGAAAAGTAAATCACGTCAGGAAAATCATTCTCCTTTCAATATGAAAGTAGTAAATAAACAAATAAAAATGAGGCTGCTTCTCAACTCTGAAGGCCAGACTGAATTTGAAGTACAAAGTAAAAGCCGTTGGCAGACCCAGCTGTTTGGCATGTGTTCTTTGATAACATCAGTGCCAAAGTGGGTTACATACAACATTTTACTTAAACTGCAGGCTCCAGCAGGAGCTTCTCAATCACCATCAGAAGAGAAAACCGATGCTTCTAGTAGATTAATAGTAACACTATACAGGCCTGGAGTGCTCAAAAAGCTTACTGATACCTGGCTGTCTTTTACCAGTTAAGTGTCTCCCTGACTAATGTAGAATTATCAATCACTAAGATGGCCTCCCAGAGACAAAACGAACCAAAAAACATTCAACAATGAATCCAGAAACTAACAAACATTAAGTTTCTGAATTATGACCATATTAATTTCAAGCTCCAGATATAAGCAAAGCATGTAGGTATTAGCCTACCAGGGTCACAGGAAGATTTCTCTATCGAAATGGCAAAAACTCCAAAGAGATTGTTATCTCCCTTACTCTCGTCTCATAACCCAAAGCAAGCTTTCCTATATCATATATATCCATGAAGGGATAACAACCGATACTATTTCAGTGGCAAACTCAGTACAACAAGTTATTCTTGTTATGCCAGACACAGTCTCCTAAACCGCTGATTATACCATTCTTAATTTGGAGATTAAGGTTAATTAATTGTTAATTCAGCTAGGACTACTTAAGAGCATATTAAACCAAACATCTTGCTGATACCAAGTTCAAGAAACCTCTGCAAAGCTACCTTCGCATAAACTAGGTGGATCTCAATTTCAGCTTATCAGTAATTTTTCAACCCTCAATGGAAATCCACCAAGAGCAAGCAACACGATTAATGGGAGATCCTAATCTTTCAAATTTAATTAAGTCAAATCCCCTGTAAATAAGCTCCAAATGCACATGCATGAACCCCTTTCATCAATTTATAAATGAAAAGAATTGTCTTTGTTCAACGCACATGATTCTTGTGCAAGAGCACTCTAGCCTTCAATTTCATAATAAATATAACACGCAAACTACGCAATCCTAATAAAATTAAAACCCAATAATAAACCAAAAATTTCTTCTTCCGTGAAAAAATATTCATATTTACTAAACTACTAGAACACAATAAAGAACCATAAACCATGCTCATTTAACACAGTTTTCACAAATAAACTAGTTGCTAGACTCCAACAACACAATTTCCAGAGAAATAAATCAACCAAGCAACAATCAAACAAGAAATCGTATAAATAAGCGGAAGAAATTTACTTGGGTAATCGAGATTCAGAAGGGGAAACATGCTTCTCTGCACCTTCAATGCCACTTGAGCAGACAACCCTTCTAAAGTTTCCTTCAGAGAAGCAAAACCCAGATCGAAAAATGCCTATTGAAGGCTGAATATTTCTCCTCATCCTCGGAACTGGAGGTGAGAAAAACCCAGATGCATTTGCCATTTACGCTCACACACCAAAAAAAAAAAAAACAGAAAACACTCACTTTACAGCGGCAAAGGAATATTATAGCTATGAAATGAGAGATAGAGAGGAAATTTTGAAACTTCGGTTGCCTAAACGGAGAAAGCAGGGATCTTTAAAAATGGAAAAAGTACATAAACTATGAACGCCGAGAAAACGAGAGATACTCAAAGCAAATAACTTTCATAAATCAATTTTTACAAAAGGTTCAATAGATTTATGCAAAACTTGAGTGACACACAGGTTTCATTTCAGGCTGTTTTAGGTAAAGATCTTTGGAGGGTCCGATGATAAAATAAAAAAGAAAAAAAGTTGGCGATTTTGCCAACCAATTATGCGGAAACCCCAATGCTACTCTTAATTTCTCTCACCATAAGTATATGTTCTTCATGCAATGTGCTTCACCATTTCCAATGACTTTATTTTTGCTGCAATCCAAGTGGTGGTGGTGGGATTGTTTTGCTGGACAGAAAACAGGTGGAACTTGACACTTGGTCATTTTTGCTCTTTAGTGGGTACGTGGCAAATACCCATTGGCTGTTAGTTCGTGAATTACAAGGTTTGGTTTGCATAGGAAAGGATGGAAGCTTCAGTCCCCTCACCCTCCTCTACTCATTCTTCCAAGTTCTAACTTAACTCTTTTCCCCAACAACAGAAGTTAAGAGTTTGTTCAGCTACTAGTTGTCGAAACTTTCTGTCCTTTGACTTGAAAAAAAAAAAAAAATTAAAGAAGCACTTGTTTAATTTTGATTTTATTTCATTTTTTAACTTTAAATTATATAGTTTTATAAATGATCGTGCTAATAAAAAATGTTCAATGTGGATCATACGCCATCACCTCCGATATAAATTGGATTTGCAAGTAGAAATTTTTAATCGATACCATTGGTTGACATTGGGTTTCAAATAAAGGGTAGGTTTCTTTTTACAAAAGAAAGACAATTAAAGGATTGTTTGTTTTTGTTTTTTTATTTTTATTTTTATTTTAAATTTTTTTTAAATTAAAAATAAAAATATGTTTGGTAAGTTGTTTTTATTTTTTGTTTTTAAAAATTGAAAACAAAATTTTAGAAATTATTGAAAGTTAAAAAATTATGTTTTCTTTTTTAAAAAAATAATTTAACATTGTTATCATTGAGTACTGTTTACAGAATTTACAATTAAACGTTACAGCAAAGCTACAATTATTATATTAATAAAATAATTTTTTATTATATAAATATTATTATATTTATTATATTAATAATATTATATTAATAAATTATATATTATATTAATATAATATATTATTTATTTATTAATATAATATTTATATTATTATATTATCAATAACAAATAGAGTCTAAAAACTTTAAATATTTTCTCTTATATGTTTTTATTATCACATTTTTTAAATAAAATCATTCTGTTCATGTTTTCAAATTCAATAAAATAAAATAAAATAAAACAAAAATTTTAAAAATATAAAATATAAAATATAAAATACACAACAATACCGAATGACTTTTAGTTTATGACTTAATTTCTAACATCTTAAATATTAAAAAGAATAAATCTTTCTTTAAAATAACACGAGGAGAATGTTTTAGTGAGGCTATTGGTTGAGGTTCGGCTATGAATTAAAACTCACTTAATATTGTTGCTTTGTGCTAATAAATTATAATTATGTCATATGAAGATAAGATATGGCATATAAAATGGTTAATATGAATTTGAAATTTAATTAAATTGTATTTAAATAATTTTTTTTAAGAAATAACATCAATAATGTATAAATTTTAAATTTTAATATTTACAATTTTTTATTTTTAAATTATAACTTTTTACATAAAAATATAAAATGATCAACAAAAATATAATTATGTGATTAGAAGATTACATATCTATAATATATAAAGTAACCTACCATGGAAATGACAATTTTACTCATTTAATTTTTGACCAAATGCTTGACATGTGTTTAAAAAGATGATAATGCCCTCCTATTTAATTGACAAAAATACCTTTTCTTTTGAATGTAAATCACTATAATTTCCTCATTTTTTAAATGAAAAAAACTCTCTCATAAATTTCAAATTAATATAATGTCCTTTATTCTTAAATGACAAAAAAAAAAAAACTCTTAAAAATATAAAATCACTATAATATCATTATATCATAATTTCGAAAATAACTCTCATACTATATTAGGCTAAAATTACTATAATACTCTTCTAACTATAATTATGAAAATTGCCTACTATCATGATGGATCAAAATTACTATAATATTTTTTCATTATAATTACCAAAATGCCTTTCCATCAAAATTGATCAAATAATTATAATACCTTTTACCATAATTATGAAAATATCCTTATAATTAGTTTATAAAAAATTTACATATGTCATTTTATTTGAAAATTTATAATTACATATAAAAATAACACCCATTTGGAAATTACAATTATGACATTCTAATTATTTGCTTATTGCTTAACATGAGTAAAAATTTAATGTAGTGCCCCTCTTTTCAAAATCAACCAAAATTTCATTGACAATTATTATAATACATTTTTAATTACTTGACAATTGAATGCACGTATCTAAATTTAGTGTAATACTCATTTTATAATTAATTAAAATTATTATAATATCCCTTTCATTATAATTATTGAAATATCCCGATATCACAATTGGTCAAAATTATTATAATACCCCCTCTAGCCATAATTACAAAATACCTTCTACTTATATTAATCAAAATTATTATAATGCCCTTCATACTATAATAAAATTATTGGTTTTTTCTTTAAACAAATTAAGTTGAATGGGTGATAATATTAGTGCCTTTGATTTCATGGGCAAATGAATTTGATAATTGATTAATATTTATAATAAATAAATATGATATCAAAATATTATATTGTTATGTATGTATTATTAAATTTGGATTTATTTTATAAATTTTTTTTAAAATAGTCTCTCTTATTAATTTTATTGTAAAAATTTTCGGGATCAATGATTGTACCATGCAAACTATAAATATTTTTTATTGAATAAAAGAGGAGATCATTCGATCGATTTCCGTGTCACTCATGATCTATATAATAACTGGGGCATCCATTTCAAATGCATATCCCATTTTTGTGCAGCAGGGGTATGAAAATCCACGAGAAGCAATTGGACGTATTGTATGTGCCAATTGCTATTTAGCTAATAAATCCGTGGATATTGAGGTTCCACAAACGGTACTTCCTGATACTGTATTTGAAGTGGTTGTTAGAATTTCTTATAATATGCAACTGAAACAAGTTCTTACTAATGGTAAGAAAGGGGCTTTGAATGTGGGTACTGTTCTTATTTTATCGGAGGGGTTTGAGTTAGCCCACCTGATCGTATTTCGCTCGAGATGAAAGAAAAGATAAGCAATATGTCTTTTCAAAACTACCGCCCCACTCAAAAAAATATTCTTATGATAGGTCCTGTTCCTAGTAAAAAATATAATGAAATCACCTTTCCTATTCTTTCCCCAGACCTGCTAGTAATAAGGATGTTCATTTCTTAAAATATCCCATATAATGTTATGTATATATTATTGAATTTGGATTTATTTTATAATTTTTTTAAAATAATCTCTCTTATTTAAAATAGAAGCTAACATCTATCCAATTGTAATTAAGTTACACAATTAGAGCTTATTTTTTTATTTTTTTAAAAGATTATATTTTTCTAAAAATAAAAAACCAACAAAATACTAAAAAATAATTTTTAATTTATTATTAAATTAAAAATTTTATATTTCATCAAAATAAAAAAATTTTACAACCCATGTGTGATCACGTAATTTTTCTAGTAACATATATTATATGGTTTGAACAAATTTAATAATTTAAATACGATTAATATGATGACATGGTTAATTCAACCATGCCAAAAAAAGTTTGGCAGCACATGAAATTTTGGAAAAACATGACTGGGTATAAATTATAGTTATTTTAAACAACATTGCTTTTTGGGGTTTCATTTAACAGGTAGAGGGATTAGAGTAGGGTTTAGGGAGGAGGGCATATAGGAAGTTTGTTACCAAAATATCAACTCAAAGTTTATTCATTCCGTCATTTACCTTTTGATTTAGTGATTAAAGAAGTTTTACAAAAATATAAAAATCTTAATTTTGAGTCAAAATTTCCTCCCCTTTTCCGTAACACCTTTCCCTGAAAAAACAAAAAAAAAAAAATCTACTCCACGAGTAATGTTATAACGATGAATTCGATTTTAAAAACCCAAAATCCTGCGCTTTTCATTATGGGTTATCATCTTATTATATCTTAATAAAGGATCCAAGTCAAATGCAGCCCAAAACTGAGAATTTGGGGAGGCCTGAAGGCAATGTTAGCTCAATTCAGCCCATTTTGGTACATATTTAAGGAACTAAACCAATACCCTTGGGCCTTTGGGAAATAAAGATGCGTGACACTTCTCATCCCAATAAATATAGCCCCGTGGCCTTAACTGTATTGGTTAGAAGGTGCAGAAAGTTGAGCATCCCAAATTCAAAGGGATGTTTGTTCGATGGGACAAAAGGAAAAGTGTGTTTTTGGTGTGGAACTTCAGTTAGAATAGTAGTAATTTTTGGTGGTCATTTACAAATGGTTTTATCATTTGCCATTTCATTGTTGACCATGGGTTGGGCACTTGAAATTTAGGTGCTATTCATGTTCACATATCAATGCCACCATCTTTGGCAAATTGGAATACAGGAATAGCAAAATATCAAATCTAAAGGCATTAAGCCTGAGGATGGATTGGAAAATGGACCCCCGAAATCAACAAAAAGAAGATTACTCACTCACGCACCTGACAACAACAGAATGGAATTGCAAAGCCAGCACAGCTATAAAGCTGCTGTTTTATATGTTCAGTACAGCTACAATATTCCTAAAGGAAAACATTATCAAATAAATACAGTTCAAAACCAGGATGCTTAAATCATCTTTATATTGGAGCTTCTATTCGAATACAATGGAATAGATAAACAGAACTTTGAGTAGAGCAGGGGTGATGACTGATGAGTAACTCCTTTGTGCTTTATACATGCAGGCTAGCTGCAACCTATGAATTAACAGATGCTTGTGTTATTGATGAATGCATCCACTATTAGGCTTTATATTTGGTAGGTCTTTTTGAAGTCTTCATGGGGTTGCAAAACAAGGTTTTGCCCATTCCCATACCTGAAGGTACTCTGGTGGGGCGAGTCTATTAGTGGATACAGTATCATGCATTAACCGTCTCCATTCTTCGAAGCCTGGGCATCCACACTGAGCTGCAATCTAGTTGTAATACTCAAACTGCAATAACCATGCATGTCCAACAGATACATTTGACTATAACCTAAAGAAAAGCGACAAAGAGATATTAAAAATTTGCAGGTTTTATAGTGTAACAATTGAACAACAAACATATATATTGCAAGTTGTTTATCCTTAAAGTGGTAAAATGAATTTTATAATTAGTTGCAAGCCGTCTAACAAAAATGGCACCAGTGGTCTAGTGGTAGAATAGTACCCTGCCACGGTACAGACCCGGGTTCGATTCCCGGCTGGTGCACTGCAGTTGTTTTTTCGCACCTGCATCTTTTTGTTTAGTAGAAGGAAAGTCATAAAAGGCTGTAACTATAAAACACACTCTTCTTTTATTTCGTTTTGCAGTCAAAACCTTGCCAAGGAAAACTGCAATGACAATTTACAAGGTTTTATTTTTCTTTATTTTATTAAATCATTAAGGTCAAAATTGAATCGAAGAGAATTAGTATACAAGTAAAACATTCTGTAATGGCTGACATCCTTCACCTTTGTACATGGATTTGTTTTACATTAATGGTGTACTTTGTGAAGTACTCATGGGCTTCCAAAACCAGGTGGTGGTCTTCCCATTCATCCTTGTATGTCACTGGTCGAAGACGTCTTTTCTCAGAAGCTGCACGGTACATTTGCTTTCTCCATTTTTCAATGCCTTGGCAGCCACATTGTGAAGCAAGCCAATTATTATACATAAACTGCAAAATGCATTAAAAAGAAAACTAATTAATGATATGGATGATGAACTCCTTGTGATCAATGGGAACCATACCAGCACCTATTGCAGTTGAGAGTTAACAGATAAGCCCAGCAGGCAATAAATTTGCCATCAGGAGTAGCATTCCAAACCAGCAAATCTGAAGGAGACCTTCTGCTTAAAGGAATCTGTAACTAAAATCTTAACATCATCGATCATCCTCAACAAATAATTGCTTAACTTCATCCACCTTCCTTCTGCATGATCAATCAAATCAGATACCATCACCTGGGTAAGAAGTTCAGGATCCCTAACTTCTGCTCTATATATCCAAACCTGGTTTATTTATCCATTTGTCTCTCGTGCGACTGTATTCATCCCATTCCCCACCGATCTCCACCTAAAGCCTTCCTTCAGCAATTGTGTCTCTTCCTGCCATCAAACTACGCTAAGTCATAGAAGGATTACGATCCTCCACAGCAGCCATAAAGGAGCAAGTATATGACAATATTTTGCTTAGCCAGTAGAGCAAGAATAAAATCTCTGAAGCCCATGTTTTGCTTTATTAAATATCATCATATCATTTTTATTATTTAACCTAATTCATGGTTGTAGACAAAAGCTATATAGAACATTTGACTTAAGAACATTATATTTACAAGATGTGGATTTGAGAATAATGATGTAGTTACTTATAATAATTATAAATCGGGTAGCTTGGAAGAATGGGACAGTGAACCAAAGGGTAACGGAAGATGGGAAAAAGGACATATTAATGGAGGGACAGAAATGTAAAAATAAGAACATAACATATCAAATGGCCTTATCTTTGCTTTTTGCAGTTGAAACTGTCCTACCACTCCCGATTGGTCCTCTTAGAAAAGCCCGAAATCTAAAAAATATAAAATAAAATAAAATAATAAAGGAATCTCAAAGATTATGTGAGAGAGAGAAAGGGACAGAAAGTAAATATAAATAGCAGAAAAAGAAACAATGATGTGCCACATAAACTACTCTAGAAAACCTTTCTCTTCAGAAACAGAGAAAAAGAGAATTATCTTCTCTCCTCTTTCATGGTTTCATTACATTACATTACATTTCCTTTCTTTCTCTTTCAGGTTTTTTTTTGGTCCCAAGCCTAAAGTGATCTGATTCATTTTCATTTATTTTCTCTAACATATCTTCTCTTGCATCTATCTGCATCAAGTTTTTAGTTGTTGGGAGTCTTGGGAATTGTTTTTGTTTTCTTTTCTTTTTTAATATCTTGATTGTGATCTGGTTAAGACAGTTAGGGGCTCTGGGGAGAAACAAGTGGAAAGTGGAGGTTTTTCTTTTCTTATGGTGGAATGCTTTTTTGTCTTATTTGTCTCCTGGTGAGTTCTTTCTCCCTTTACATTTTTGGAATTCGACTATGGATAAATTTTGACTCTTGTTTCTTCACTTGTTTATGTGTTCATGTCTTGTTAGCTTTTCTGCCTATTTGTTTAATGATTCATGGCTTGGATGAAGTGGGTTTTGTTTTACTAAATGTTGATAAAATTAACAATTATTGGCATTTAAGTTCTGTTTCTTTGGGTTTATTCTGTTTCTATGTATACGTAATCAAGTTTTTTATGCATAAAATCTAAACAGAATATGGTTTTCATGGCTTCTGTTATATGTTAAGATTTTCCTATGAATTTTACCAAGATTCATCTTCATGATGAGGAGAAAAACAATAGTTATTTCTAAATGAAGGGAAAAAGACCTTCTTTTGGTAAATATCCATACACCCTGCAGTCCTGCACATCTTTGAATAATATAAAGAGCTGAGTTGAATGGCGTCTTAAATCGAACTCCTTTAGCAACTTTCTTTTACATTGAACTGGCTCGTTCACGTTTGATTAGTGTCAGAGTGTTGTTTGTGATTGTTAGAAGTGACTTCAACCACCCAAGTATGTGGATTTTCTATATACTCAGGGTGCGGTCTGTGTGTTTCAGCCACCCTATTTTTCTCCCCAACTACAAGTTTATTGTTGGATTTTTTTTTTTTTTTACCTAGGAAATGGCATGTCAGCTACCATTGAGTTGCTAGACATGAGTATGGATGAAGCTTAGTTGAGCCTTTTAATTATCTTTTAGAATGCATTATTTCAATGTTGTTAAATGTATGGATTGAACCTATAATTCTGGGGATGCTGTTATACCGTATTATGAGATAACATATCCTACAAACAGCACTGTTCAATGGGAAACAGCTGAGAAAATGTAATCTTGTTATGTGGAGCTAACGTTAATCATTTATTCTTTCATTTTATATACATAGATCTTTTCAAACACGGAATCTCTGCTTCATACTGCCGAATGGTCAAACTTTTTCATCATAACATCACCTAGGGCCCATGTACTATTGGCTACTTCGGCTTGGGTTCTTTTAGTTATAATCCTAAATTTGCTAATTACAGCTCATATTGATTCAACAAGTTTATGTGGTTGGAAATATTTTTAACTTTAAACTCCTTTATAGCAAAGTATGTCAGTAGATAGAATTACCGCAAAATCTTGTAAAGACCGTGATCATTTTGGTTTTATGTTTAAATTTGTTGTTGTTTAAATGAAAATATTTTCCGGTAAGGATTTTTCTTTGTTAAATTATTATGTTTTTATAATGAAATTGATGGAACTTTTTCAAAGTTTATCTGATAGTCATTAAAACAGGACACGTTTCTCACGCGGAAAGACTAATATCTTTCCAAGATTGGCTGCCTTATTTGCTGTTATCAGTTTCCCCGATTGGCAATCTTAGTGATTATTAGTGGTGCTGCACTATCTTATAACCATCATTTCTGTGAGGAAATGGTGCAGAGATGGAGACCAAAGGACCGTGTGAAACATCATTTCAAGAGTCATTTATTCAAGGATGAAAGATCTGATATCATATAAGGCATTTGTTCCATTCTTTTGAGGAAAATATGTTGACACTAGGAGATATTGATTTGAATTCAATGCAACGATACACTGATTCACTTAAAGATATTTTCAAGCAGACGATGCTCAACCAAGAGATCATATTCAGAAAGCAGGTACAAGGATATCTTTGTGGGTCTTTACATGTTAGTTTGCTACTTTTTTCTGTTCAGAATTGGCGTAAGGGCTGCCTTATCTGATGCATATAAATAATTTCCCTTTGATGGGTCAAGCCTTTGGCCATCTTGATGCAGAAAGTTTTGGCTTGAAATTTGGGTTCTTGTCAATCTTATTGCTCTCCAACTAGATGAAATCATGTAATTTAGAGTTATACTTCAATATATTGCTTTTGCTGGAAGGGTGGACCATGAGGCCATGCATGTCAACATCTGTCGCATGGAAGAATCGTGACTCTCCCCCCACTTTAGATGCTAACATTCTTGCTGTTGGTTTTGTCAGGTCCATGAACTCCATCGCTTATATAGTGTTCAGAAGACTCTAATGAAGGATCTTGCCCTTCTGGAGCTGGAAAAGTACAATTCATGGAAAGCAAATGCACAATCATTGCCCCAAGAAACCAGATTCCCCACAAATTCAGTTCCCATGGTAATTGAAGCTACTGTCTTTTGAAATCTTAGAAAATTGACCTCCAAGGATGCTTGAGTGGGTTTCATTAATTAGTTAGAGATTTGCTTCTTTCTCGAATGGTGTTATGAAATAAAATGTCTTTAATCTAAAGCTTTTGAAGGGTGGGAATATGATCAGGAAGATATGGTGAAAAGTTTTATTAGTGTAAGAGAAATCTAGTTGAGAGTTCTTTGCTTTTGCATGCAAAAATGCATTTATCATGACTTTTCTCCTTTTGGGAAGTGTCTGTGTTCTTTTACAGGATGGGTTAACAGATCTAACATTTTCTCTTTGAAACTTTGTTCAGGTGGGGTCAACAGTATCTTTAAGTCAGGAGTTGTTAGGAGGGTGGAGGTGCAAATACCATAAGTTTCAGCGAAGGCCTTTTGATCTTCAACTTCTACCTGATCAGTATGTTAGTCTTGGTGATAATAATATTCCAAATAAAGGAAAACTTGGGGATTACTTAAAAGAAACCAAGGATGTAAATTCTCTTCATGGTTATGATTTCTCAGATCCTCTGGAGTTGAGGCTTTCTTTGAGCCTTGGAGCAGCCAAGGGGAAAAAGGAAGATAAACAGAGAAGTTGTAATGACAAGAAAACTATTACCTGCTCTGGAATTGTCATTGACTTGGAAGAATCTACTGAGAAGACCTCAGATGGGGATGCAAAACATCCTCCTTTAGATTTTGCTGCTGAAGTTACATATTCCGAAGGAAAGCATGATTCACAAGTTGCTATAACCTCTGATGCAATCACTTCAAAAAGGACAAAGAAAGATCTATCTAGTGAGATTGCAGAGAGTAGCTCCTCTGTTGGGGATAGCAAATGCTGCCAAGACTGGAGCTATTTTGATCAAGGTAATAGTGATTTCTTCACATTAAAAGCAGCATTCTGGTAGGAACAATTTTGCCTCTGTTCTTGTTCTGTTCAAGCATATATTTTAAGTATCATAGTTTAACCTTTCTTTTTTCATCCCATCTACAGGATTGAAATGCCATGCAAATATGCCACATGAAAACTTTTTTACTGGAGAACGCCAGTTCATATCAAATGGAGTGGGACATTTAGACCTTAATGTAGCTCAGCTTGAGGATCGGTCTTGTCACTCAAATGATGCAGTAGTGGCCCTTCCTTTAACAACTAGCTCATCAGGTGGTTTTAGTGGACTGGTTAGCAGGAGTCAGGAAACCTTGTGTCTGACCACATTTTGGAGAAAAGAAATTACGGAGGTCTCTAATGACAGTTTTGAGATGCTTCAACATGATCATTGTGTAAAACTTCCTTTGATGAATTCCAATAACAAGGACAGGGGAACAGAAATTCAAGTCAGAAATTCTGAACTCAGTGGAAGGAATGAATGTGAAAAAAGCCTTATTGGTCCTGCTTCTCTATCCAGGCCCCAAATAAACCTTCCCAAAGACCTTGGCAGCCACAGCGAAAACACCAAGAATGGAAGGGACGAACTGATGTTGAAGTTACCAAATGTTCCTCCTCATGGTCCAAACCCTGCATGCGTAGTTTCTACTCAAATGGGTTGTGAGAGGATTGAAGAAGGGGACACTGTGTTGTTCTGTTCTGATAAAATCCAAATTACGATTGAAGATGAACATCCTGATGAGTCTCCTACTTCAGGGAACTCTAGCTGCATTTCAGATAATGATTCAAGTCCTGTAAGGACTATGAAATCCGGAATTGAACCCTGTAATTCAAGTCTTCCTGCATCTGATCAGTTTTCAGGAACCCATGGAAGATCTCAAGTTGCAGAAACTTTATCAGGTGAGCAGGATCAAAGATCTTCTGACAGTAATGAAATAAAACATGAGTGTTACAATAACAGGGAAGAATCAGCTGAAGTGGATGATTTGATCCAAATAGCAGCAGAGTCACTTATCCATATCTCCTTGGAGAACTCTGTTTGCTATCAGGAATCTTCAACACGGACAGGGTCCAATGAGTTAGAGAATGAGGACAAGGAGCAGCCACAGTGTTCCGCTGATTCTTTTGAGTTAATGACTCTGAAACTGACAGAAAGCAGTGCTGATGACTATTCTATAACATCAAAGCCACTTGAAGTTGGTGACGCAGATAGAAAAGATTCTAGTATCAAGTTGAGAAGAGGAAGGAGACTGAAGGATTTTCAGAGGGACATACTTCCTGGTCTCGCATCTCTTTCTAGACACGAAATTCGTGAAGATATAAACATTCTTGAGGGAGTTTTAAGATCAAGGGAGTACAGGAAAATGAGAGCTAAGATGGCTAACGGAGAGAGTTGGTGTACACCAGTGAGAGGCAGAAGGTCAAGACTCAATTATGTTGGAAGAAAAACTTTTAGATGATATTTAAGTTGAAGTTTAAAGTTTAATGTATTGTGTAATCCAATATCTTTTTAACTAAAAATAATCTGTAAACACATTCATTGACCTAGAGATATTTAACTATGTTCTGATAATGATTTGACCTATCCATTTTTAACCCTTTCTTCGGAGTTATTTGGCTATGTTCTGAATTATGATTCAATGAAGAAATCAGTAGACTTCATACGTTGATCGCAGAAATTTTGTTTAAAAAGTCACCAGTTTTTCATTTCGGCGGACAGTCACAGGGCTCGATGTAAAGGATAAAGAAGACTTGCTACTAAGGCAAATACTATTAAACCGACCACTCTTGAGTCTTGAGGAACTTGTCCAAGTAGTGAAAAGAAAAGCACTTTGCCCTTGGGAGTCTAGGATGTCAGTGCCAGCAAAGGGAGATGCCTTGGTTAGAAGTAGAACACTCGCTTTTTCCAATGGAAGCCTTCAAATTTTTAGCAATATACAAAACTGAAATATGCCGACCGCTTGAAGAAGTCAATTTTTTTTTGTTTTTAATTTAAGGCTAGAACTAATATATATGATCTCTAAATCAAACCAAACCATCTTGAAGGTAGTGTTTGGATGTTGGGGCCAGATATTTTACATGGCTCTTTTGCTCTTCCAACCATCAATATCCACATGATCAGCACTGGAATGTGATGAAGAGTCCTTTTTTAGTGGTCATCTTAATACGTGGCATATTTAAGAGAGGATTGATCTATCATATGATTTCCTTGGCAAGAAAATCAAATAATGAAATAATGAAGAATTGAAGCCACTTAAGAACACCCTTTAGGAACAAGCATGCTTCAATCATGAACCCGAGAGGATAAATACCAATGGTCCAAGTTGCTTCGAGTGAGAGAGACTGCTTATAATTTTGGTTGGCTGGCTGGTTTAGTAGATTAGATTCATGGGCAAGAAATGCCACATGGAGCCAAAAGTCTTCACCTAAACCTTTGAATCTTTGTGTGTCATCTTCTGTAATTTTGCACACCCCACAACCTACAAATATAATGCTATTTCAATAATAAATATGAAAAGGTCAAGGATTAAATTATCTATTTGTTTCTTTATCTGCATTGGTTTTCCATATTATTATTCGAATCTAAATTTAAATTTATAAAATTATAGCAAGTGCCTGAATTAATCCTAACCCATATATCAGTTGCATTCAGTTTATTGCAAGATAAAATATTGTTACATGAAAAGTTTTTCATCGGTAAATAGGGTAATTAAATGGAGTACTACCACAAAAAGAACATTCATAAAGCACTTCTGTTTCTGAGTAGGCAGGCAATGTACCTTAAGGTTCTCCTCTGAACCATTTCTTTTCTATATCTAGAGCCTTGATGAAGCTGCAAATTGATTACAATATTGAATAAGAATTACATAAAGCCGGCGATTGCAGTCACTGTTGATTCTACTTTTCAATTTTCTCATCTGTTATCACCTTAATATCTCTCTATCAGTTTTTTTAATTTGTTGCCAATTTTGAGAATACTATGGTTATGGTGTGCATTGGTTGGAGTATTGTGTAACCCAAGCCACCGTTGACTGTGAGGGCAAAGAGTTAGATGTGATCGGTTGTGTACTTCAAAAAATTAAGTAATCTTTATGTTGGTTTTCTATATTTGGCTCATTCAATTAGTACAAGACTCATACAGGATTCATCTTTTGGTGGTTTCTGTACATTGGTTTTATCAAAAACTTAGTCTAAATCTCTCTAGCCTATGTTATTTTTATATGAGTTACACAGGCAGAAGTTGATCATTAAATTAAAGGTTGTCTGGTTCTTGGTGTAAAGTCTCTTTGCTTTTGTTACATTTCAGGCCTTATCAGCTAGATTTCAGATATCATTTCTTTGTTAGTAAATCATGACAGAAGCTTCAGGTGTTTGTGTTTCAATGAACCCAAGATGGGATTTCAAAGTTCATGAAGTTGCTCAAAGCAGTTTCAGACTCGCCAATCACTTGTTTAGTTGCATTTGTGATCAAAGTCAAAAGAGAAGCATTCAAGAAGTAAACCTTATGGCTCAAGATGCAGTGAATGGATTCAGAAAATTGCTTGCCCTCCTTGATGGATCAATTCAATCAGACTGTAAGAGGATCAGAAAGGGTCCGTTGCCGAAATCCTGTAACGTAAATCCAATTGAATTGATGGATAGCCCCAGTTTTGCATCTCAAAGTTCTGGTTGCAAATCAAGCCAACCGCATATTCTCAGACAATTAGTCTCTCCACAGAATAATCAATCAAATACTGGTTTAATCCCCAGAAATGTGGTGGTTTTGCCAAATTTGATCATGGGATTGCATCATTCTTCAACACTGCCAAGCATGTCACTGTTTAGTTTGGAAGGACGAAGTAACATGGACAAGAAGATAATTCCAAAGTCATCATCAGAAATTCTGGTTTCTCAGGATGAGTCTTGTATGTTTCCTTCCAAGAGAAAGGTTGGGGTGGAGAGTGAAGAAGCTAGTACAAAATGTGCTGCATCAACTGGGGGATGTCACTGTTCAAAGAGACGGTAAATCCTCATTTCAATTTCTCATGTGACATGATAAATTGTCAAAAGTCTGAAATCTACATATCTATGGGGGCTTGGATGAGTTCAATATTTGACATTAATAATCTGATAGCTTCTTTGTAAGTTGTATCTACTGATTTAATATTTCCTTGTGGCTGAGGATGGATATGTTTTGTTTCTATTATTTCTCAGTGACTCATTTCTTCGTTTCTGTCCCAGCAGGAAACTGAGAATAAAGAAAACTTTTCGGGTTCCAGCTATAAGCAACAAACTATCTGATATACCTCCAGATGATTACTCTTGGAGGAAATATGGACAGAAACCCATTAAAGGATCTCCTTATCCTAGGTATGATATAGTATTACCTTTTTCTTTTCATCCCAAGCTAGTTATCAGTTGATCATAATATTAAATGGCATTTAGCTCTGTCATTCCAATGAATCAGGGTTCAAAAATCAGAAGTCTGTCTTCAATGTTTGAATATCATATCATTTTTTTTATAATTTCATCTCTTCTGGATCTGAGATGTTACCAGTTGCATTTGGTAATAGATTCAGTTTAGGCAATAATCAACACATTCAGCTCATAAATTTTGAAAATAAGGGACATTTCATGGTTTGGGGGTCCAAATATGCGATACTGTTTGCTCAACCAACTCTTCAAATTAACAAAGTTAGCATAAATGGATGTATTCTCATGGAACATGAAACAGACAGGAGAAAACAGTTTCTTTTCACTGGAACTTTAGGGATGCTTCTTGCATCTAACCAAGAAAGATGCTTCGGCATTCTTATTGTCAATCAATCAGAACCATTACTAATCCTGACTGACATGTTTTCCATGACTTATTTGCCAAGGAGCTACTACAAGTGCAGCAGCATGAAGGGATGCCTGGCAAGAAAGCACGTGGAACGATGTTTGGAGGATCCAACCATGCTAGTTGTGACTTATGAAGGAGATCATAAGCACTCGAGTATCACATTTCAAGCCCCCAATGTGATAGTTCAAGTTCAGAAGTAGAACCATTCCAAGGAATTCCATGCCAGTATTTTCCAAGCTAGAAGTGTTTCTGCCTGTGCTTGGAAATTTTCGTTTGAAGATTCTCTGTTTTCAATGAGAAAAGCCAGTTTTCTCCTGTGAATGTTCATAAACTTCTGCAGTTTCAAGCCTCCGTCTCTTCCTTCTGTGTAAGGGTAACTTCCACAAATTGTGCACATCACAAATAAAATTTCCATTCAGTTTTTCAAAAAAACTGACCCTGAGAGATGAACAATTTATATGGGATTGGGCAATTAAGTTCCAAGACAGTGCCACTCCATCATAACTTGGAAAATCTCAAATAAAATGTCAGAATATGCTCATGATTGCATCATCTCCTAGCATTTGCCTTTCTCGGGTTTTCCTATAAGCCCATTAATCAAGCCCAAATATATTTTTTTTAACCCAAGTTATGTACTTTAAGTCCAAAGACATATTTGTTTTATATTATATTATCTATAATTTATTTCACAATTAATTTGCTATCATTGAAATATTTCGATAATAAAAAATAATATATAATTTTATAACATAAATATTAATATACCGCCAAGTTATACAACAAACTATAAATATTTAAATAAAGTTAAATGCATATTAAGTTACATAGAAAATATATTTATGATATAAATTATATTTTATGAATAATTACTTTAAATTTATTTAATTATTGGAAATATATTATTAAAGGAATATTATTACATTGATATTAGTATATATTAAAGTATATTTAATTAAAAATATTTTTTCTATAAATATTTAAAATAAGTGAACCAATGCACCATTCTAATATCTATCTATTTATTAAAAAAAATTCGTGTATATTTTTATTCATATATTAAAGAATCTCTAGTATATAAAAAGTTTTGTAGATTATTAAGGGTATTTTTGAGATGAAACAATGTGGACAAAGTTCTCAATGTCGCTTTCATATGGCATGTGATTCAACAAATTCAGATATAATGTCATTCTTATCTGTTTACTCACCCATCTAAGTTATCCCAGTTGGAGAATTAGAACTCAAAATCTTAAGTTAATTCTCTTCTTCCTATAAATCGAAGTATGAAGTCTAAAAAATGGTCAGTTAGTTTGGTTGGAGGCAATTCTATCATTGGACAGAAAGGGAAATCTTGTTCCGAAAATAATGGTTTAAAAACTGTTCATTATTCAATATGCAAAGCAACGTTGGTTGCATCTTTACTTAATTACGTAAATATAGATATGATAATTCGTATATTTGTATCATATAAAATATATTATTTTAATTTTATTAAATTTATATATAATTATTTTTAAAATTTTAAATTATATTATTTTTATATTATATTTTCATGCGATATTTTCATTTATCAAAATAGGACACAAAGTTCTTAAGTTCCCATCAAGATGTGACTCTACACCACTTATCAACCTTTCATTTTGCCCAAGGGAAGTAAATACACGAAGAACAAAGTAGGTGGGAATTTCAGTTTGTTTTTGTTTGTGCCATTTCTGATAATGCCAGCATTGAATGTTCCATGTTGAAAGAAATTTTATCCAGGGTTTTTCAATACATCACATTTCTCGCCGAAATCAGTTGCCTAACAGGGCGACTATTACTCAAGCGGTATGATCCGTGCTAGAATTTGATTGCTCTTAGGTCGATAGTTCTGGGTTTCAGATGCAAGATAAAACCATTACAGAACAAGAATCAGGAAAATTTAAGATCAGGCAAAACAATATATAAAAGCACAAATCAAATTCACGTTTTTATCAAGAACTCTTGATGGAGAAAAAGAGAATAAAGAGTTAAGGTCAGATTATCATTCAACTTTTCTCACTGAACAATTTTGAATTTGGAGGCACAAACCTGAAAAGCTTCCACATTCTTTTCCCATCTCTTCTCTTAACAAAATCATTAACAATCAGTCCACTTTTTTCCCGTTGTGAATCATTCGCATTCAATTCTAGATCACCATCGATTCTTGGGTCCTAATCGTCATTATAATGTTTTTTTGGTCCCCCAAAACATGATGACGTGTAATATATATTTCTCAATCTGAAACCCGAAAGATTTAATGCTTGTTTTTTTCTTGATGAATAAAATTTTCAAGCGTTATCAAAACACAAGAACGCACCAGAAACTACTGGTGAGTGAGTACCTGATGGCCTATCAATGGTATGAACCAACCTGAAAATTATATTCCGAACTTCCACAACCACCGTAATTTTCACCCAATTGTAAAATTGGCGTCAAATCAAGTCCGTTGATTAATCAATTTTCTTCATCCAAAATGTCAACAAATTTGAAAATTCCACCACCAAATCACAAAATGATCTAAACTCTGAACAGCACTTTATTTCAAAATCCAATTACACAATAACGCCAAAACGGTAGATTGGATTTATTAAAGGATTAACAAAATAATGTAAAAATAAATCTGAAATTTAATTAAATTGATTTATATTATTATTTTTTAAAAATAATATTTAATAAAATTACAATTTAAATTTCAACGTTTAAAACAATTAAGTTACTTGATCCATTAACCTTTATCAACCCAATTTTTTTACTAATAATAATGACATTAAAATTATCAAAAAGAAACTTAGAAAAAACTGAATCGGAAAAAAAAATTGTGTTGATAAATGCAACAAAGATGATGCACTGTCATAAAAAAAATGAAAAAAAAAAAACATATAAAGAAAAATAAAAAAGTTTTTTTCCCACTATTTTTACAATTTGTAGATAATAAGAAAGCAAGGCAACACCGCACGTGGATCAAACACGAGCAACTCGCCGTTGTCCCCACTCACTGAGTCATACCCAACTCGCCCATCCACCAACGAATCGTACCCGAACCCTACCCGCTTCGAGACTCGACCTGCAATAACCCGGCAAACCAACATCGCCTTCCGTCCACTCCCACCTCCGGCGCTCTCGTGGGCTCCGCCGCTCCCGGAATACGTGCAAATCGCCGCACCTTTACATCCGAAAAATATCCGCGTGTCGTTCATCCCGCAGTTCCCTGAAGCGGGACCCAAACAATGGAACCGCATGACCTCGTTCCCATCAGCGACGCACCTCGCATTTTCCTCGTCAGCAGAAACCGGACCACCTGAACCCGACCCAGGCCGAGTCCTGACCGTCTCTCGATATTCCTCGAACCGGGTCACAGTCCTCGGCCCATTTTGAACTTTAAAAATCATCTCGATCCGACCTGTGAAAGCCTTGGGGCTCCAACTCGTATGAAAAATAATCTCCACGACATTCCTCGAAGGGTGACCCTCAGGCATCTCGGTCAGTGCTGGCAGAAGAGGGTCAGTGTTCCGAACGGGACGTGCAGGGGCAGAACTACTCCGGCGAGGTCGATGAGGAAGATTATTCAAATCGGCTTCGGGTTTGCGGCTGGGGTTTGGAAGCATCTTGAAGTTGGATTTCTTGCCCTTTTTCTTGGTACTTTCAATGACGTCTTTGATGCTCTGAGAACTTCGTCTACAACTGGAAATGGGTATCAAATGCTTCGTGTTCGGGTGATAAACATCTTCGAATGCCCTCGATTTGCATTGCAAAGATTTGAACCACCCGCTTGCCATACACGGATCCTTATTTTAGCCAAAGAATCTAAAATCTATCGCTCTCTTTTTTTTTTTTCTCTTTCTAACACTTTGCTTTCGGTTTTGTTTTGTTGGGAGCTTTCATTTTTTTTTTTTTTTGGGTTGAGGTGGAAAGGAAAAGAAATGGAAAAGAAAAGAAGGGATACGGCGAGATATTAAAGGCGGAGTGTGTCGTGGATGATGTAATGGGGAATGACGAAAATGACCTTATGAAACTACTACAGTGATTCCAAGACCAAGGTTATAACCCACGTGGATTCTGTCTTAGGAACTGTTTCCTTGGGGTGGAAAGACAACGATCCATTAATGACGAAAGCAAAGTGACAATAGAAATTTTATGTTTTTTAATTTTTATTTTGAGGTCAGGTTGGGACATGGGGGTCTTTTTTCCACTGTAAAACAGTTTTTTTTTTTTTTTTTTTCAATTGTGGAGGCCAATGCTTTTAAAAAATGTAATTAAAAGGATTGATTTTGCGGTTTAAGAATATTCAATGGAGGTATGCCCTCGTTAACCATGAAAACCAATGAAATTCCCATAACTTTCTTAATAAAATGAAAAAAAAAAAACTGTTTACAGATTCAATGAAAGTTTATTTAGATAGAAGGATTAAATATTAGGGTTTTTCATTTGTCAAAAGCAATTTTTGTTGAAGAGATGGTAAGTAAAGGAGTACTAGTGCTAAAACCCAATTATCTAGTTGTTGGAGGTTTCGTAAACTCCATTCCATTAATTTTTTTTTTTAATTGTATGCGTATTAAGAAAGAAGTTTGATTTTTATGTATTTAATGTTAAATTTTAAAAAAAAAATTATAATATTGATGTATCGTGATTTTTGTTATTTAATAATAAGTTTTAAAAGTAAAAAATAAGGGTATAAGATATGTCAGTACCATACCAGCAAATTAAAAGTTGGTCGACAAAAAAAGTGAACACTTACAAGAAAAGAGAAAGAAAAAAATTGTAACCAATCAGGTTGAAAAAGTGATAAAAACTTTAATTAAATTAATAAATAATTATAAGTTTTCTTTTCAACAAAAACAATTTTTTCTTTTAACCTAAGATGTTATTAGTTAGTAGTTATTCCATGAGTTATAAAAATTTGTAAACTGCACAAGAAAAATGTACTTCCTCCTGTCTTGTCACTGTATTTGTTACCATCGCCTTTTTTTTTTTTTTTGGCCGACAGACAAGAAATTCTTCAGTTCCAGAGAGCAAAGTACAATGTTCAACTACAGAAAAAACATCAATCAAAACAACAAACCCCAAGGAACTTTTAGAGGAGACTCGCACAGAAATCTCAAGACAATCAGGCATACAAAGGGGAAGCAGGTAACACATCCCTACTCAATATATATACGTTGCCATGGCCTTCACTGTATCCTTACTTTTCTACAGGATCCAGGGAGTCAAGGTTCAAGATCCGTTTGGTGTTGTTCAAGTTCCAGTTTCCAAGAACTACAGACATGGTTAATTATTTTTTACATTGATTCTTATGTTTGAAAGTAATTTATGATAAAAACTTACTCAGACACTGATCGATTGGGCACCAGTTCAGTACTTAATCGATCTAAGATACATAGTCAAGTCTTTTACTATTGAAGGTCCTCACTGCAACCTGCCATCCAACTTTTTAAAAAGGCTTCTTGACTTAAGTTGCTCCTTCAAATCAAAGAAAAATCAATTAGTTTTTTTATACAGTGTTCTTGGTGAGCTTGAGGTTTCAATGGAACTGAAAGCCAGTGGACCTTGGCTTTCATTTATATTATCTGAGTGTAAGTTTGGCAGCTTATGATTCGTAAGCCCAAGAAAAGAGAGAGAAAGACAAACCCTCTGTCCCACTTTACATGACTTCTAACCTACCAGTTTGCTTTCCTACCATTTTTTTCTATGGTCACTGCTGATGACAATAATATTTCTTATCCACAATGAAGTTATAGTTATATTGATTTAGATATTTTACATCAAACCCATTTTTTCAAATAAGATTACTTAAGAAATTATCATAGATCTCACTTTTTAAATTAATTTTTTATTTTTTTAAAAGGGAACAAAAAGTTGAGATATTTGATGAATTAACAATTCATTTCTTAAAGAAAGGTGTGTTACACCACATAAAATGGGACAAAAAAACTTATATGTGGCAGATTTTCTCATACATTTTTAAAACAAAAGAATGATTAAGTGGAAGCTAAGTAGGGTCTTCCATCTCCATCACGCCCTTTAATTTATAGTATAAGAATTCTTCCAACATTATATTTTAACAATTTTTCCCATGATGATCCAACTTTGGACATTGCCAATTATTGTCAATTTGCACACCCAATGGTTAAGGCATTTTAGGAATAACACTTCAAATATTATATTCATCTCCCCGCGTATTCAATGAGTATTTTAAATCTATTTTCATCTTCATTTTCATAAGTGTAGACACCCCGATATATCTTGGATGTTATTTTTATTAATTAAAAAATTAAAATTAAAAAAAATGAAAAATTAGGTGGTTGGATTTGCTTAGGGCTGTTTTATTGGGGTTATCAAAGTTGTGATAAATTTGAAATTAGATATTGAGTTTAAAGGGGATTGAAATCTCATTTGGTTTAGAGTTCTCAGATTTGAGATCTTATAAATACAACCTTGGACACAGATGAAAGACACAAAAAAAAAAAATAGAAACACAGCAAGCAAAAAGCAAAAAATATTTTCAAAGTTTTTGGGTAAAAAAAATTTTTTTTCTGAAAATTTTTTGAAAAATTTTTAGATTCCAACAAAATTTTTCGACGCCAGTTGTATTTTTCGGCAAGGTTTTTTAGAATTCGATGAAGATTTCGGTGAAGTTGAATTTTTCAGTGACCGTCCAATGAACCAACCTAGATTCTGACGGTATTCCCTAAAATCTGATTGAAATTAAATCAGAGTTCATCTAGTTTCTAGAGAGAGGGGGAGAGAAAAAAGGGAGAAAAGAGAGAAATGGAAGGAGAAATTTGAGGAAAAAGTCAGAAACCGACCTTATATACCACGTCAAAACGATGTCATTTTGACATTAAGAGACCCATCAAGATCCGTATGTTTTCATTCGAATGACCCGAATCGTAGCACTGACCTGTTTCAACCTGTTTCGTAGACCTTGCTGTCGAACCAAGTCAATTTTTCTCCGAGCCGCATTTCAAGCCATTGTCTGTGCCTTAAGCTGAGCCATTCTGCAGCCATCAAACTGAGCTGTTCCATTTTTTGGGTTTTTTTTGGGTAATTTTATTTATTTATTTATTATGTGTTTATTTATTTTTAGAAGTATTTTTGAATGATTAAATTTTAAAAAAATAAAAAAAAATAAATTTTGGGAATAAATATTAATTATCCAATGATGAAATTTATAGAAATTTATAGAAATTTCAAATGGTAAATTTTTATAAAATTCTTAGGTGAGAAATTTTGTCTAAATTTATCCCAAATGGTAGAATAATTTAGATAAAATTTTAATAACAATAATTAATATTTATTTTCAATCCAAAAATAATAATAAAAAAATAATTTAAAAATTTGGTTGAAAATATTTGACAATTATCCAAAGATGAAATTTCAATAAAAATAATTGTAATATTATTTTCTTTTCAAAAATTTTTTTTTAAATAGGTCCAAATGGTGAAAAATTTAAAAATTAAAAAAAAAGAAAATATTTCTAAATTAACCCAAATGGTGAAAATTTTAGAAATTCAAAAAGAAAAAATATTTCTAATTTAGCCCAAATGATGAAATAATTAGATATATTTTTGACAAAAAAAATAAATAAACCTTTTTCTGATGACAAAGCCTTTTAAAGATATCAAATAAGATTCTTGAACATTCTTGAGATAAGAAAATATTTTTTTAAGAGTTTTACTAGATTGATGGAGAGTCTTAAAAAATTATTTCTAATATTTAACATAAAAATTAAAATTATTAGAATCAAGATCTTAAGATAAATTTAAAATAAAACGGTACCATCCTTTAAATGGGCATGTGAATGTGCTATAACCTTTTCACATGTAACCGAACTGTCAACCCCTGTTTTGATTTGTAAACCCAAACCTATTCTTTTAGGAACCTTTAGTCAAGCTTAGGGGCTCCTTAAAAGGATAAATTCCTTAGGTGACCAATCATACCTAGATAAAAAAGATTGGTGGTGACTCCTTTTGTTAACTTTAACTATAGATTTTTGGATCTATATCTTATGATAGTTTGACGACTCCACTAGGGATAGCCATAGAGAGTTAAGCCATAAACTTTTAAATTTATCCTATCATTTGGTCTAATGATTTTAATGATTTGTGTTATCTATTTACTAACGTTTTTGACTTTTTTGTCTTTTATTTTTTTAGGGCATGAAACCTATATGTTTTTTCATACACTATCACATGCATTTGCATTACATGAGCTCTATACCTGAGCTCCATCCTTTTTAGAGGAGAGTAAAGTACTTACATTTTCATGAGATGATAATCTCCATAATGGCTAGTTAAATACTCTCACTCAAATTGAATCATTTTTGTTAGTAGCCTGTGATGGGTGAGGATTGATCTATCTTACTAGTATGTGATGGACAATGATGTAAAGAATAATTTAAGAATCTTTAGTAGTCAAAATCACCTAACCCTACATATAATCAACACCTACGAAACCAACCTTAAGATAAAACCTTTCTTACTCAGTGATAGATGTAACCCGAAGTTAGGATACAAGAAGAAATAGTTTATAATCTATTTATTTTATTTGTTTGACTTTGTGCATTTGTATTATCATGTCATACATCATTTTTATTGTCATATGTAACATTATGCATCTACATCATTTTTATATTACATTTCATCCATGAAAATGTATATTCCATTCATTCATTCACATTGAACATAAGGCATAGCATTTTTAATAACATAATTATGGTGCTTAAGGTTCAAAGATAGCTTCATCAACCAAGAATCCTACACACTCAACTCACTAATACAATACAAGAGCTCGAACCAGACTAATAGAATAAAAAAATTTTAATCATCTCAAGAGGATAAAAAAAGCTCAAGAAAAGCTGAAAAAAGAGTTAGGTAAGATTTTGGA